TAGACTGGGATTTCAAAATTGTAGAATAGATAAACAAAATTACACTGTATAGCACAGGGAAATATACACAAAATATTATGATAACTCACAGAGAAAAAAATGTGACAATGAGTGTGTATATGTCCATGAATGCCTGAATAATTGTGCTGAATACTGTAATTTGACACAACGTTGTAAAATGATTATAAATCAATAAAAAATGTTAAAAAAAATAAGATGAATTCCACTGAGCCACCCTACAGCCAGGGGAGATACGAGGAAATTGTTGAGGAAGTCAGCACCTACATTAAGAAAATTGGCTACAACCCTGACACAGTAGCATTTGTGCTAATTTCTGGCTGAAATGGTGACAACATGCTGGAGCCAAGTGCTAACATGCTTGGTTCAAGGGATGAAAAGTCACCCGTAAAGATGGCAATGCCAGTGGAACCATGTTGCTTGAGGCTCTGGATTGCATCCTGCCACCAACTTAGCCAACTGACAAGCCCTTGTGGTTGCCCCTCCAGGATGTTTAGAAGATTGGTGGTACTGGTACTGTCATTGTGGGTCGAGTGGAGCCTGGTGTTCTCAAACCTGGCATGGTGATCACCTTTGTTCCAATCAATGTTACAACTGAAGTCAAGTCTGTTGAGATGCACCATGAAGCTTTGAGTGAAACCCTCCCTGGGGACAACATGGGCTTCAACATCAAAAACATGTCTGTCAAGGATATTCGTTGTGGCAATGTGTCTGGTGACAGCAAAAATGATCCATCAATGGAAGCAGCTGGCTTCACAGCTCAAGTAATTATCTTGAACCATGCAGGCCAGATCAGTGCTGGATATGCACCTGTGCTGGATTGTCACACAGCTCACATTGCTTACAAGTTTGCTGAACTGAAGGAGAAGATTGACCATTGTTCTAGGAAAAAGCTGGAAGATGGCCCCACGTTCTTGAAATCTGGTGATGCTGCCATTGTTGACATGGTTCCTGGCAAGCCCATGTGTGTTGAGAGCTTCTCTGACTATCCTCCTCTGGGCCGTTTTGCTGTCCATGACATGAGACAGACAGTTGTTGTGGGTGTCATCAAGACAGTGGACAAGAAGGCAGCTGGAGCTGTCAAGGTCACCGAGTCTGCCCAGAAAGTTCAGAAGGCTAAACGAATATTTTCTCCAATACCTGTCACCTCAGTCTTAATCAGGTTTGGAAGAAAGGTCTCAGAATTGTTTGTCTCAATTGGCCATTTAAGTTTAATAGTAAAAGACTGGTTAATGATAACAATGAATTATAAAACCTTCAGAAGGAAAGGAGAATGTTTTGTGGATCATTTGTTTTTTATTTGTGTGTGGCAGTTTTAAGATATCAGTTTTTAAAATCAGCACTTTTTAATGGAAACAACTTGACCAAATGTCTGTCACAGAATTTTGAGACCCAATAAAACAAAGTTTAATGAGAATTTAAAAAATAAATAAAACTAAATAAAAATAGAACTATCATATGATGCAGCACTTCTGGACTTATAAATAAAAAACTGAACCCTGTATACCTAAAAGATACCTACACACCTGTGTCCATTAAAGCATTATTTACCAAGGCAAAGACATGGAAACAAACTAGTCATCAGAAGATAAACTGATAAAGAAAACACAGTCTATACATACAATGGAATATTATACAGCATTAAAAATAAGGAAATCCTGTCATTTGTTATGACATGGATACTTATCTTCAAATTCATCACAATGTATACATTAAACATGTACAGCTTTTTGTATGTCATTCATACCTCTATTAAAAATGAAAGACATAAATCTAGATATAAAGATATAAAAATAAAAAAGATATAAAAGAAAAAATGATATAAAAAGACTGTCACACATTAGCAATGACTTCTGTAAAAGAAAAAAAAAGCTTTCAATAAAAAGAAAGAAGTAATCTACTAGCTTATACCATACCTAGGTTCTGGACAACTGTGGCTATGCTCAGTAATCAACCGGGAAGTTTTCACTGGCTTTTTTCAATAATACTATGTAATAAATAGCCCTCAAAATTCAATGAATTACAACACAAGTGTTTATATTTCTCACTGATGAGTCTGTAACTGATTTGCCACTCTCTGACTAAGACTTTGGGTTGACTGAGGTTGGATACATCACGGATTGAATTTAAGTCTGCTCCTCATTTTCCTCAATTTTCTTCTTTGACCAGAAGATTCTCAGGGCATATACTTCTCAAGACATATCACAGGAGAGCAAGAGGACAAGCCATTCATGCCTGCACATTTTAAACATTTACTGGCATCATTTCCAATAACTTTTCATTAGCCAAGGCAAGTCACAAAACCAAGTATACTTCACCCATATTAGGAGGATTCTATGAGCGTACCTGGCAAAGTATGTGGATGTATAACTCTATTAACAAGGGAGGGAAAAATCAGGACTAATAATCCAGTTTATCGTGGTGGGGTATATCAATGTTGACTCTGCTCAATTACAGTGTCTCTAGAAGTTTCAGAAAACAACTATACAAAGGATTGTTGAAAGAACTGGAAATATTTAAACTTCACAAGATAAAACCGGTTAGAGATGGTAGAAAAGGATTTCCTGTTTAGGGGAAATGGTTGGATAAAGACTCATCTAGCAATAAAAGAATGTATGATTATTTGAGACATTTCCTTGCAGGGAATATTGTTTAATAGACTGGGTAGAAAGGGATGGAGTTGCTGGGGCAGAGATAGCTGAGTCTTTGTTCACAGGGTGGAGCTTCTGTGAGTTTTACTGGCTGCTTTTAATGGCCTTGCTTTCAAGAGAAAGGAAGTTCTTACTATACATGTTGTTATATATCCCAAGCTCTCCTCTCAGGGTTCATTGGTTTGCTTCAAAATGGAGAAGAACATCATCTGAATCTTCTGAGATATTTTGTAGATATTCAAGTTCCTATCCAATCAGAAATTTTCTGTCAAATCTTTGCAGATTATTCCATCTCATTTCCTCATTTGCAAAACTAAGGGGAGGGATGTTGAACTGTACAATCTCAAAGAAAGGAGACAAAGATGCTTGAATTTATTGGTTACCTTGTATGTGCCTGACACTGTATTGTATGTTTCCACAGTCTCTTGAAGCTCTGGCAGTCGGTGCTTCTGTAGTTTTACACTGTCAGTAAGAACCTATAGCTAACAGCACAAATAGCAGAAAACTTTGTGAACTACTGTTGCTATCTAATGTTTTTTTCATAAAACTGTCCATAAAATTCACATCTGTGACCTTTCTCATAATATTCCTTTCTTCATTTTCTTCCTCAAAAACATAATAGCCATTGATTTATTCAGTCATAAAATGCAGCATGATAATGGATGATCTGAAATCCTTTAAAAGAGCTTTTCAGTCACTCCCAAGAGATGACCCTGTGCTCAAAGCTCCAAATTACAATCTAGTCACTGAGGTTTCAACACAGTTCAATATTAATGATAATACCTATTATTTATTGAGCATTTATTTTATGCCTTGAACTATGCTAGATGCTTTGTATATGTAATTTTATTTAAGCAGTGATCTCTTCTATGAGTGTTTATAGTCATGGCATCTTGGGCTGCAAGACTAAATGCAATTACAAAAACATTGTGTGCTGAACTTGCTACTAAAGTTCAACTTAATTTAGAATATTATCTCTTAAAATCCAAATATTTTTCAAAATTGCACACGCTCTACAGAGTGTCCTTATTATATTTTCTTCATGGAATTAAATTTTATTGCCTTGAATTATGTCTTCCATGACTTATTAAGCATTGGAATTATTTTCTGGGCAGCTAACACTGTTAGTAATCTTGTATATTTGAGATATTTAAAGTTCAAAGTTGAATTTAATAGTATTTCTTTGATACAAGCTCTGTGATAACATTTGTTAATTATGATATAGAATTGTCCTCATATGTTAGATCCATAGCTATTCAGAATAGTGATATGTACTGAGTACTTATTAAGTACCAGGCAAAGTTCAAAGCACATTTTACATGTATTACATACATTTATACATATCAACTTATTTCATCCTCAAAGCAATTCTATAAATAAGCATTAGTATTATCATCATCATTGTCTTTACACATAAAGAAGTGAAAACACAGAGATGTTAATTTGCTTAGGGACACACATCAAGGAAGATGTGTGAACTGAAGCAATAGGTTCTAGAATCTGCACTCAAAATCATTGTTATGATGCTTCTGGATAGTTAGTTATGGGGCTTAATGTACCTCCTTTAATCGTATCTGATGGCATTAGATCCTTTATTCTTAGATGGTAATCTGAGATGGCTAGACTACAGGTAATGTTTTTCTCTCTTTGTTAGGCAATTATTTTTGGAAGACAGAAACTTTATTTGGCCTAACCACTGTTCAGGTCTGGCTACACAATTTTCAGTGTTCAGTGAAATTAAAGATGCAAGACCCCTTGTTCAAAAAGTGGGGGGAAAAGCTTTGTTAAGGAAACTAAAATATGTAAATCTTATTTTCTTCTACAGTCTCTCCCACAACTTGACATGATATTTTTATTTGTTATTGAGTGTCATACTCATTCAAGCACAGACACACTCATAAGGAAGCAGAGAAGTGGGAGGAGGCTGGGTTGTGCATGAACCAAGACTTCAAACCCCTAGTACATGCTCCATTGTCCCATTGGACATCACTTACAAAACAAAAATTCAAAGATAAACATATTAAGAATTTCAAGACTGATCACAGAGCATTAAACCCCAAGCATGAGGCCCTTCTGAGCACATGGCCTTGTATGACTTTATTGGTCATATGCCTATGAAGCAACTATTTCACAAAAATATTTGAGGCAGTCTTGTGTAGTTGTTGCGTCAGAGTACCTGTGTTTGAATCTTGACTCCCTAACTTTTCAGATTTAGATTAAAGATTGGGTTTACTCACCTATAAGTATTGTGGGAATAAAAGAACTTTCTTCACAGAACTCTGCTGAAGTTTAGGTGAGACAATTCATGTTTGTATACACTGGTTTGCATTTATCATTCTATAGATGTAAGACATGTCATTTAATTTCAAAGGGGATTGGATGAAGCAATAGGCTTAGAACTAACTATGTCTGGGGACACATTTTTCTCAGCATATTTCTCCCCTATTCCTATAGAATGCTTTCTTTCTGGAAATTGCTATCCCAATCCAAATCCATTCATAGCAACTGAGAGTACTGACTTGTGAGTACAATGTGTACCTCCATTTCTAACCATAGTTGATTAATTCAGGGTTGATACCAAAACCAGGTAAGGCTCAGTCAGTTTTTGGAATTCAGAGGTAATGCAGCTGCATTTCTGGAATCACTGGAACTGGAGTCTGAAATTCAGTCAAGATGTTTCTCTCCTGCCCTCTGCTTCTTTCTGCCCACATGCTTCATTTATTTCTTCTTTAAGTTCTGTTCCCAATTTGTATGAAATATCCCAGGATCCTTAATACAAACTGCTCTTTTGTTTTAATTTAGTTTGAATTGGGCTTCTGATACATGCAATTAAAAAAGCCCTGTCTGTACACAATCTCATTATAGAAATCTGATCCCAAGAATGCATTTGTATTTTTTATCTTCCTCACTTGGGTATTCACTATATGACAGATAATGCAGCTATTCAAATTCTACCATGTGGTAAAATCCAGATCAATAATCACCAATTATACAAAGACTTTCTGACCACCCCAGTCAAAAACAGCCTCTCTCTTCCCTGAACTCCTAAAGAACCTCCCTCTCTTTCATTCTACAACAGTGGTGTATACGCCATACTGTCCTATAGCTATCACTTTATTAGTTACAAATTTGGTTTAGTTATTTGTGTATGTGTCACAACAAGGATTGGAATGTAAATAAGGACCTATCTAGAATTATTATTATTATTATTATTATTATTATTATTATTATTAACCATTATATTCTCTGAAAGCATTAATGAAATAATGAATAAATAAGTCTTGGAGTTACCCAGTAGCATCCTCCTTGTAATTTCTTGTGTTATTAGTAATAGTGATGACTAGCATTTTTAGGAAGCTCTCTGCTTATTTCTTGTGTAAAAATACGGAGGCTGCAAAGGAATCATTGCCTTCAACGTTCCCCCAACATAATAAAGTTCACCAGTAGAAAAATTGCTCAATTATTAGCCCAATAAAGCAGTCCTAACTTTACTCTTCTACAGACTTTATGCTTGAAAGAGTTTTATAACTATACT